CCAACCTGTTTATTTAAATAAACAGTAATTCAAGCATGCATGGAGCCATCATGTTTTCATATTTAACTGCATGAATTAAAGGTTTATTTTACCCACACCAGACTTGGTGATTATAGGAACAGTGGACAGACGAACCAAGAAGTTTTTGTGAATTTATTTAGTTTCTGTGGACTTTGAATGAACTGTGTTTTACGATGATAAAATTACTGATTATTTAAATGGAGTCTGGTGCATTTTGACATACCAATTATGGGGCTGTTTCTGGTTTGACAAAATGATCTTACTCTCCAACAAAAAACTCTACCACTGTGGGGATCCTTTCCATTATGATGGCAGACACTTAGAATAACAATCTGAGCCTGTCAGTGGCAAAAACAAGCACTTTAAATGGATGGAAATTGACAGGCAAACATGCCCGCGTGGTTACACTGCAGCCGTTGCTGGCTGCAGCACTCTTGCTCAAAACTGGACCACCTGCAAAACTTGTTCAATTTTCAATCAATTTTATTTATAAAGCCCAATATCACAAATCACAATTTGCCTCACAGGGCTTTACAGCATACGACATCCCTCTGTCCTTTGGACCTTCGCAGCGGATAAAGAAAAACTCCCCCCCCCAAAAACCTTTAACGGGGGGAAAAAATAGTAGAAACCTCAGGAAGAGCAACTGAGGAGGGATCCCTCTTCCAACTTGTTGTTCCCATTAGTCACTTAGACACAAAAAAATGTAAAATAAGGTGCAGATTAAATAATAACAAAGTCACCCTTAAAGCTTTGATTTAAAATGAATGTCTTTTTTTTTTTTTAAACTGCAAACAAAATCATAGTTGTGGATTTTACCTAACTCAGGGCCCACTTCTACAAATGAGAGCCCCTGCAATCAAGCTAAAATTATTTAAACAATATTCAATTTCCTTGTGAAAGAGCAGGATCAAAGGATGAGGACTTAATTAACTATCATATCCCATGCTCAGACTACATGCTTAGGCACTGACAGAGCTGTTGTGAGCATCAATACTCACTGAAGGGCTCCGGTAGTGGCTGAATTTGGTGCCTTTGATTGGATTAGCTGTTGTTTCTCAGTATCTGGTGGTTTATTTACCGCTGCAATGTCATGACAGGTGACTCATGCTTAGAGGAAGTATCAGGAGGTTGACCGTGGAATCAATGGGCATGCAGTTAAGGGTTTCAGGGGGGTCATTGATCGGTGGCCATGAGAGGGGAGGGGTCATGCTTGATAGGCTGGAGCATCTCTTACCTATTCCTACAGGGGCCAAGATGAACAGATGGAGGAAAATGGTGATACAGAGGATAGAGAGGAAAAAAGGATGAAGTAAAAGGAGAGGAGACAAAAATGCACAAGAGACATTTTCGTGCATCATGTACACAGACAGAGTGAGTAACATGGTGTTTATTATGACTAGTACTGGGTTTCGCTTAAAAAGTTACGATACCTACCAGTACCAGTACCCTTAAAGTGATACTGATACCAATAGGATACTTCATTTTTTTAACTTTTTTTCCTACTTCATTCGATACCCATCATGTGAATGGAAGCATTCAGTTGCATAAAATGCCACAGGAGTGTAGTACAGCCATACTATAAAAAATTTTGGTGGCATCTCGGCACGCTTAACTGGCATAAGCACCACACCACAGACTGTATGGGTTGTAGCTGCTGCTGTAGTGGGCCAATCACATGTTGAAATAAATCGAATAACACTTGCGGTGTTTGGCTGCAAGTTATACCATAAAAATCATCATTTTTTTCCTAGATGTGAATACAAAAAGGATCGAACGCAGGTATTGTCCAACTGGAGAAGTTTTGTTACTACTTGGGTGAGAGCTATTTCGGTCTATAGCTTTAAAAAGGTATCAAGTACTGACACCCAGCTCTGATTATGATGCGGACATTGTAACTGAATAGTTCTGCAACAAGTCAGCACCACTGTATTGCTCTTCAATCTCTATTGTGTGTTATCTGTAAGAAAGCACGGCAAGCGCGTATTGATTATTTGTATCACTCTGTAACAGCTTAATTATTTCAAGTGAATCTCTTTGTATTTCAGCTATAATTAAAAGCTCTGTTGCAATATCAAACAAATGCAACCATGAATGTCAACACAATATTAATGAACATACCCTACAGCCATTAGAGCAATATAATAAGTCTGGATTACTCTGCGCTGTTGCAGCAGCAGGGAGGATCACCAGAAGCAACTGATGCCAGGACCACAGTGGAGATGTGCGGACAAAATGAATGGATTCTTTTTTTTTCTTTTTTTTTACTGAGCACAATATGTAAACTCTAAAACTAAAACGAGGTGGTGTTGAGGGTGTGAATTTCAATTACTGTTTCCTTTCATTGCTATTCAGTAGTGCACGTTGTGTCTGAGGCAAGCAGCTGAACAGTATTCATGCTACTGCTAGACAATGATTAAAAACAAATCAAACACAATTACATTACTGACTGCTGCCTGGAAACGAGACAAAAGATGGAAGGGATCTTGCACACATAAGTCCGTATGTCACAAACCTGCAGACCTTACACTCATCCATTTCAAACAGACTATATAATGGCGCAGTCTCAGTCTGCTGATACACTGAACAGCTCTGAAATGCAACATATACTACTCTATTTCTGCCTTTATCTACTAGTCTCCACCGTGCCTGTAACCCTACGACTTCAGTAAAACTGTTCAGAGATAAAATGTTGAAAGTGCCTCAAGGGTCTACACAAAAAAATAACCTACTGACCCAGCACTGCTGCTGTTTGCCTACATCATTGACACTAGAAAAATCAATTTCTACCCTTGTGCCCTCTCTGTACCTTGCCAACACTCACTGTGTAAATCTACAAGGCACTGGACTGGAGTCTGTTCTGGAGAGATGCCTGCCCCCCACTCAATCACCGAATGTGACTGGGTTTACACAAAACACACTAATTACTGGGTGTAAGCATGAAGACATGATATATCCACTACAAGTGAATCACAATGACAAGGTGTTACAAACACACAAATAAGGAAGAGGAAAGGAAGAAAGAAAGACAGACAGTACACAAGTCAGATCTTCACAAAAGTGAATCGTTCTGGCCATACAGCTGAGTTCCTATTCATAACATAGCTATTGGTATGTGGGTCTATGTGGATCTATGTGGATGTAGTCTTTCACCTGACACATATTGAGTAGCAACCTTGACCCACATTGTTTACAACATGGTTAGGCCACATTTGGCTGGGTTTTTAACCTACTGCTCCCGGTGTTCACATGATATGACTCAGCCATGTTTTTAGTCGTCCATCTTAGGGAACAGGAACAATTTCCTTTTCACCAACACCTCATCTTCGGCATCTTTGTATAGGCTCCTGTTTCAGCTCTGTTTAGTTGTTAGTTTAAAGTTTCTTCTTACTTCCACCTTTTAAAGTGACCCACTAATGATTCTTTTTTGTTAATTATTTCTTTGGCTTTTGCCTTTATTTGATAGGACAGTTACTGGGCGCCCCTTAAGACTCCTTTTAAGCCACTTTAACACATTTTTTTCCAGCCAGACAATTATTAATTCCCCCATCCCTCCATGCTTAACGTAAGAAAAAGATTTTCTTCACGGAGAGGCAAAAGGTGCATCAGCTATGAGTATCTCATTTCCATATGGTACAAATAAATAACTTGTATCAACACTGAGGTCATTTTGGAAGAGCTTTTCACACAGCTGCACCTAATCTTTTACATAGGTGTGGTTTGATAGAAATAAATGAACTGTATCATTAGCTCATACAACATGCAAAATATTAAATGAGGACATTTTTTCCTGATTGTGCATACTAATTCTTGTGTGTGTTTTTAAAAATATTATTATAGTCCCTTTTGTGTTATTCAATTCTTGAAGGAATCACTGCTTCATGCTTTTATAATGAAAATAAATACATTTTAAGGTTATTTTACTCTAATCATACCAAACTGCATTTTTTGTTTAAGGCTTGGTAACATTGTCCTAAAGATAATCCCGGCTTAGCTATTTTTTAAGCACATTTTATAGAAGATAACAAAATAGACAAATGTAAACTATTCGGCCAAGAAGAGAGACATAATCCTCTCTCATCCCTTTGGAAACAATCCTATCCTGTCCACCCCTGCAGGAACAGGCCCTTGTCACTGACATGAAGTCCCCCAAAATTTAGGGATGTTACATCGACGTTGCTCCTGTGAAACGTACCCGATGTCATCTCGGTAGACCCGGGAGATGAGGACCTCCCCCTTGTGGTTGTAGATGAACAATCCTCCAATCATTGTGGCTGCTTCTCAGTCCCAACTGGCCATGGTGAAACCAAACCCCGCCTGAGAGGAGATAGAAATGGAGCAAGAGATTGAAGGAAGGAAACGGGGAAAGGAAAAAGGGGTGCTAGAGAAGTGAAAGCAGTGCAAAGTGAGGGAGTGACCAACAGTACAGGGAAGCGCTTGTCCCTCACATCCGCTTTCTGTGTCTCTCTTTCTCTCT